AAAGGGAAGAGGGTGTAAGGGTGTAAGGCGCACAGGCTGTGTGTGAACAAGCGCCTTTGGAGGAAACGTGGGGGGGGGGGGATGAGGAGGTCCACGTTGGGGAGCCTTGTGGGTGCGAGCTGAGGAGTTCAGCCAGTATTAGGGCCGAGCCCTGGAGGTTTTAAGTGGGACAGTGACCTAAGGCTTCATGAAGATGAATGTGGCATCGTGTTTGGGATGAGTTGAACGTGCATAGAAATGGGTGGAAGGACTGTTTTCTGGCAAGTTCTGCGGAACTGGTTTTTGAAGTGATTTTTGTATGGGGAGGGAGAATATAAAATGTAGGGAAAATAAAGCCCACCTTTATTACTGACCCTGCTCCCCCCATACATCATCATCTCACATGCTTTTTTTCAAAAGAGGTCTTTCTGAGATACTTTCCATGTCACACCACGTGCTTCTGGGCGCTCGGGAGTATCGGGTAGCAGGTTCCATGAAGGGCGCTCGGCACGGGCCCACAGGTCGCCTCTGAGTTCCGCTAAAGGCTGTGCCAGTTCCGAGGCCCCGGCAGTGTGAGGAGGCCCGCTGAGCCCGTGGGGGCTCTCCTCTCGCTGGGCCTTCCCCAGCAGGCCAGGCGGGGGGCTGGGGTGAAGATGTCAGCTGGAATAAGGGGCTTCTTTTACAGACCTTTGAGCGCAAGAAAGGGAAACGTGAAATTGTTTGTACTTGTCGATCAAGGATTTTGATAACCAGCTTGTGTCTGTGGTAGGAATTTTTTTTTAAAGATTTTTATTTATTTATTTGACAGACAGATCGCAAGTAGGCAGAGAGGCAGGCGGAGAGAGAGGAGGAAGCAGGTTCTCTGCCGAGCAGAGAGCCTGATGCAAGGCTCTATCCCAGGACCCTGAGATCATGACCTGAGCCGAAGGCAGAGGCTTAACCCACTGAGCCACCCAGGCACCCCAAGTATGGTAGGAATTTTTAAACCATAATTTAAACTTTTTCTTCTGAGAACGAGACACTGACAGATTATTTGTAATCAGTAACTCCTTATGCAGAAGCGAATGAGCATAATATACAATTTAATCTTACCCGAAAAAATTGGAATACTTGTAGTTTCATCTGTTCAACAGACAACACTTGTGACGGACGGGGCACTCTACTGGGGCCGGATAACCAAATGTGATCTAATTCTTAACATTGGTAAGATTTTAAAAAAATATGTTCTGCTGTAAATTCCTGCTTAAGAATTCAGGTAACTGGCAATAATTAGGGTGCAGATGCATTAAAAAAATCCCAAGTGTCTGTAACCCATCTATGCAGAATTCACCAGAAAGCTGAAACATAAAAGCTGATTTGGTGGGGTAATACAGCGGTAACTATTTAATAAAGAAGTTCTGCTCCTTAAGGGAGTTTTTATTGTAATTTTTTATTGTCATTGTAATTTTCTTATAATTGATGATAACAGACATAAAACAGTACTGTAATCATATAAGTGATTAAATACTAAATTTTGTGGAACGAATTAAGGACTCGAGAATTGAGATAAAGGAGCCACCCCAAGGAACGGTGGTTGGAAAAAGGCTTGTTGGAGGTGGGGCCTGAGCCACTGGGTCAAATTGCCCCAGCGCAGACAAGAGAGGGAGCCCGAGAGGGGGGCTGTGTGCCTGCGGCCCACTCTGGACTGTGGCGTGGAGGGCAAGCAGACGCCGGGGTGGCAGGAGTTGCAGCGTGCTGTTGCCAGGCCCTGGAGGCCGGAATCCTTTCCTGGTTCTGGCTTCTCCTTGGCGGATGGCTGGCAGGTGGGTTCAGTGGCCCCCGCGGGGGGGCTGTGAGGTAAGAGTTGGGAATGTGAAGCTGCTTGGGCCCAGCAGGAGTTCCATAGGCAGATGTCAGGCCCCGGTGTGACACAAGTCAGGAGGCTCCTGAAGCATTTGACCAGAGAGATCGGATGTGACAGGGGCAGATTCACAAAGGTTGCTGCCCTTCGAGTGCGTCTGCACACCCTGTGCTTCGTGGGTCCGTTCTCAGTGGGCCTCACCACTGCCTGGCAGGAGCGCTGGGCGCGTTGTTCTCTGAGAGGAAAGGAGCGTCTTGCCTGGGTCACCTGGCTACCCAGAGGGAAGGCTGGGTTTGGACCGAGGCCTGCCTGGCTCCAGAGGCTGGGTTCTTTCTCCTCCTCGCTGGGGAGCCCACGCAGAAGAGGCATGGCTGGCTCAGGTGGTCATTACTGCTACTAAAAGGTGTGTGAGCTCAGTGTCCATGTTGGCGCCCCTCCACCCCAAAGGAGAGAGGAAGAGGAGGAAGAAGAAATAGGGCAGCAATACATCAATGGGAAAAGAGACTGAACTTGGTGATTGGCTGCAGAAGACAGAGGACAAGATGGGGCAGAGATGATGGCCCTGTTGGAAATGAAGGCAGGCGCTGGTAACCGGGCTTTCTCGCCCTGGCCTTGGGCTCCAGAGAGCTTGGGCACCAGTGGCAGAGTCCACGGGTTTCTCAGTTATGGGCACACCTCTAGTGGTCACCTTGGGCTTCACAGTAATTCCTGTTTGCTCTTGGTAGGGGCTGTGTGGCTTGGCTGCACTAGTGCTGCTGTAGCGGGATTGGTGCCCCTGGGGGCTGGGGATGGGAAGTGACCTTAGATAAGAGATACTCGGAGTGTTTGCTGGGCCTTGGTTTACTCTGGTGCCTCCCGGGACCCTGCTTCTCACCAGTGTTGAATGACCGGTTAAAATTTCCAGTCTGGGGGCGCCTGGATGGCTCAGTTAGGCGTCTGCCTTCGGCTCAGGTCATGGTGCCTGGGTCCTGGGATCTAGCGCATCAGGGATGGAACATTCTTTGCTCAGCGGGGAGCCTGCTTCTCCCGCCACTGCTCCTGCTCTTGCGCACTTGCTCCCGCGCTCTCTGACAAATAAATAAAATCTTTAAAAAAAATGTCCAGTCTGTCTGGGCTGATACTTTTCTAAAATTGAAAAAATATATATATTAATGGGGAATGAAACTGAAAAAGACATGTGGAATACAAATTCAAATTTTTATTATTAGAGTCAATACAAAGTTCTCCCGTCTGATTGCCCTCAGAGTTTCCGAGTGCCACTCTTCTCTCTCTGTACGGACTCTTGCTGCCGACCAGCAGGCTGGCGTGGCCTGGTACAGTTTGAGAGCCCTGGTCTGGGAAGGAAGTTGTTAAGCAGATTAGTAAACAGGGTGTTTGGGGAGTATTTACATGATTTAAGAGTAAAAGTAATCTTTCAGTTGGGATTAAAATACATGTGATCTATTTACAGATGACATCTTTTCCTATTAGGAGGCCAAGAGGTACAATAACCTCCCGGAGAGCTGAGCTAGTGTAGTTGCTGTAAAGGCTCTGTGAGTTAGCTCTGCCTTAGAAGCAGTACCGGTAAAGCAGGCGCTTTTACTTTCTCCCTTGTTTCTGAGAACAGCTGGATGTCCTTTGCTCATTTAATTTGTATTAGCATGTTTTCTCTGTAATTTTTGGCTTGGCTTTGAATAGATTTTTATAGTTTTATGCATAATTTTAGATATGTTTCTTAAGGGGGAAGTTCCTTAAGCAAACTTTAAAAAAAATTCTCAAAGGAGTTTTATGTGCTATACAGAGATCATGTAATAATGTAATTGTTCGTATTTTAGATTGGTGTTTTGTCTCTAGTTGCCAGTGCCTTTTACTGTCTATTTTGAGCTCTTCTGACATTTGCTGATAACCTTCTTAGCTCTGAAATAATTTGCTGAGGTCTCAGCCTGGCTTTTTTTCCCCTGCCTCTAGGGCCCAGCCCGGGAGCAGCTTCTGTCAGTGGGCCTGTCCCTGGGGGCGGGGGTGGGGGCGGGGTGAGGGGCGGAGGTGGCTTGCTTTGGCTCCGCAGCTCCCTCACACCTCTGCTGGCCACAGCCTTCAGCCTGCCTCAGCACTTACTCCCTTCCCCGATGGTCCCTTTTCGCCTTGCTGCAAAGTCGGGACTTCCCTCTGTTTTGTATCGTACTTTATATTACACTTTTCAAGCCTCTTTCATGTACATACTCTCTTATTTCATCCTCCAGACAATCCCATGAGAAAGATACTCATCTCCGTTTTAACTGAGGTGAGGCTGGGAGTGTCCGCGTGGCACGCATCCTCATTCCTCTGCCCCGGGCTCCGAGTGCGAGTCCCACTCGGGTCCAGACTTCCAAATGTTCGGGTTTGGAGTTTGCTTAAAGATGCCTAGAATTTTGAGGTCCCCTTTTCTACTCAGTACTTATGTGTGTCATTTGGAAAGTGAAACAATCCTCAGCACAATATCACGGGCCTCTTTGAAAGAAAGAACTCTTCAGAACCTACCTCGGGTTGGTCAGCAGAGAACAGTAGCCGCGGCTCCAGTCGTCTTGTCGGGGCACGCGCTCAGCAGCCCGCTTGTCTGCATCTGTGACTTTCTGCTAGGGCTGGAGGGCGGCGTCCTTAATTTCCGCGTCAGCCCGGCACATTAGATTGCATGGAACATTCCTCATGAAGAAGAAGAAAGTCTCGCTCTAGGGATTTGTGGGGAGGCATACTGAAACATCACTTTTTGGCCCAAGTTGGAAGTCATTTGCTTCTGACTTTGGGGTGTGTGCGTGTGTGTCCTTCTCATCCCCTTTATGGTCAAACAGACCTGGGCTTTACGTCCAGCTGCTTACTTAGGTAGGTATGGTGACCTTGGCTGAGTTATTTCACCTCCCTAAACTTGTTCTCTACTTTGAAGGGTCGTTGTAGGGTTTAACGGTGATGCACGCCATGCACTCTGAGTGTGGGCTCAGTAAGTGAAAGGTACCTCAACACCGGTGCAGAAGAGGGACTGGGCCCCAGTAAGAAGGCACCTGCTTATAATTGGCCGCAGCAGTGGTTCTCAAATCTGAGTGGGCATCGGAATCACCTGGAAGGCTTGCTAGGCCCACCCTGTAGTTTTGGATTCTTTTGATCTGGGGTGGGGCTTGAGAATTTGCATTTCTGAGTTTCCAGGTGATGCTGCTGCCGCCACTGCTGGTGTGGGGACCACACTTTGAGAACCCCTGGGCTACAGGTAACTCACCAATGAGCATTTAGATGCTGTAGATCAATATGCAAGCCGAGTTTTTATGTGGTTAGAGGTACTCTGTTAGAAATTGCTTGGAATTGAATGTATTTTGCAAATACTGAATTTAGTATCTCAAGGATTTTTCCTCCTGAAGTCCAGGAGTTTTGTTAAAGACATTTTAAGAACAAGTCGTGGAGGTAACAGTTATGAGCATATTACAGATAGTCTAACGATATCAAATTGGCTGATGTATGTGAAAGTGCTTTTACAAGATGCTGAAAACTGGAAAAAAAATTTTTAAATACCTTTGTTTTTAAGATTGAACATCATAATGGAGTATAAAATAGAGTAACTATTAGATTTCTCATCTCAATGTGCTGTTTACCGTATGTATTTTTCTCTTTCTCCTCCAGGCTGCTGACTTGAGTAAACCAATAGATAAAAGGATTTACAAAGGAACACAGCCTACTGGTCATGACTTCAACCACCTAACAGCCACAGCAGAAAGTGTCTCTCTCCTAGTGGGCTTTTCCGCAGGCCAAGTCCAGCTTATAGATCCAATCAAAAAAGAAACTAGCAAACTATTTAATGAGGAAGTAAGTAGCACCCTGTCTTAGCTGTTAAGAATCCCTTTAAGAATTTATACGTTCTTGCCAAGGGCAGTGGGCATTATTTTACCCGTCAAGCTAAGCCCATTTTTCATTCTCTAACTGTCCTACCTAGTATTACCCGGTTAAATGTGGTGAACTAACTTGACTTATCCCTGTTCTTCCTCGGGGTACCTGTTCTGGGCATTTTTTATGGAGCTTGCTTAGGTGTCTGTAGCGGGTGCTTTAAAACTCTTTTATAATGGAGACGGGTGAAACTGTCACTTGATCTTTATAATTTAAATAAGAAGACACAGAATTCTAGACCTTGTTCACATCACCAGAAAATTTCATGCAGATCAAAGAACTTGATAATAATTCCGTAGGCCATCTAAGTGGTAGTTCGGGCTTTTGTGTCTGTATTTGACAGGCGTTTGGCTAAGGGGTAGCTTTCTTTCTCTTGGAAATATTTGCTGTAAAATCACCTTTGACATATTGAAATCCTGGCACTTAAAATTGGATCCCATGATACAGTTTTTGCTAGTGACCTAGCATGTGCTGGTTTCCTGGCACCTCCGGTTTTGTTCTGGAAGGCGCCTGAGCTGCGTGAGCCATGTGTGTTCAGGAACGCATCAGAACTGTTCAGCGTGGCTGTAGAGGTCGCCACATAGATCATGTGGTAAAGCTGTCACGGGGGCTTGTTGGCCCCCAGAGTTGCCACAGCATATGCAACGTCCTCCCTCCTCTGTTCAGTGCGACTTTCCCAGCAAACGGAAACGATGTGGTGGGGTTGCTGACTTAGAAGCCCTGGGTCCCGATGTCATCTGGTGACCACGGCCCTGATGTGACAAGGGTCAGGTCATGTGGGATCCCTCTCTCAGGAAGGGCAAGTGTTTTTGTGCTCTTGCCTGGTTTTGATGTCATGGACTTGGAACAGAAGAGCATTATAGGTTCTGGTTCATCAGAGACAGTTTTGTTTGGGTGAGAATATTCAAGTGGACAGATTGCAGTTAAAATTCGGATTCTTCAACAGCGTCGCGGCCTGCGCCATCTCCCCCGCCGGTCCCCGTCCATGCTGCTTCTGCCTGGCATTGCTGGTGGATTTGGTGAGATCTCTTGAGCCATGCCGTCTCCTCTTCTGGTTGCATCTGGTTTGACCAGAAACAGAACTTGCCATGTGGATTGACAAAACTCTGGAAGAAAAGTATTGATCCCAGTTTCTTTTAAAAAGCAGAAAACTTGTTTTATTTACCTAAGTCTTTTACTAATAACGTGTGGGGAAGTGATTTCCCAGTCGCCGAATGACTTTTTTTCCTCCTGGTGGGAGCTATGGGGGAGCAACCAGTCGTCTCTGCACTGTCACCGGAAGCTGAATTTGGAGTCATTATGGGGTTTTGTTTGTATTCGGTACGGGGCAGGTTATCGAGGGGGAAGGGCTGTCTGTAAACGACATCGGGATCGGGAGGCTGCTCCGGCTGAGGATGGCACAGGATGCCACTTGGAGAACAAGAGGGGCTTGTGTGACATCACAGGGGAGGCAAGAGTCTCAGGGCCCTGAGAGCACTCGGACACGTCAGCCAGATCCGCGCCTTGCTCTGGACAGCAGCGGGCATCGCGGGCCAGGAAGCAGCTCGTCACTGATTTCAGTGCGAGTTGTCTCATGCTCCTCTTACGCTTTATTTGAAAATAAAACTGTGTAGGATAAACGCCCGTTCGGCACTCACCGCTTGAGGCTGAAGTTGTTTGCCTTTCACAGTGAGGAGAGTCTTTGGCTGTGCGGATGGCATTTTCATCAGGTTTTGGTCAGGGTGTCGGAGCAGGCATCACAGGGGTCTGGATCCGAGAGTGCCGGGAGTGGCGCTCGGAGCTGGTATCACTCACGCGGGCTTCGCCGCGGCACGAGAGTTAGAGGCTTTGGCCTGCTCTGGATCTGCCCAGTGTGGCTGGGCAGACAGCTGTGGCTTCTTACAGATGAGGACACAGAGAAGGTGAGTGAATTGTCCAGGCAGATAGTAAGTTGACGACAGAGATGGGCTCCCGGTCCCAGCCTGTGAGGCCCACCGTGAGTCGCTGCCAGGTGGCTGGGCCCTTGTGTTCCCGGGAGCTCCCAGCTCAGTGCCGTGGATGGATGGGCTTCCGGGCCGTGTTATCAGAGTGCTGGGGACAAAGTGCCCGGGGATATGCGTTTGCCGTATCTTCAGCGTGTATCCAGTATCATCAATCTGAGATTTCCAGAAGGTGACACTCGATCTGGGTCTTGAAAGGTGCACAGGAGTTGGGGAAATGGGAGAGAGGCTCTCAGAGCTGGAGAAAACCACTTGGCATGTGGAGGGGCGTTGGGTGGCCAGGCGCGACCAAGTCAGTGTGAAGGCCTCAAAGACACCAGGGTCAGAGCCAACAGGTGCGTTGGAACCAGATTGGGAACGCCCTGACATACTGAGAAATTTGGATCTGATGCTGGAGGCTGTAAGGGTAGTTCTGGGCTTTTAATCAAGGGAATGAGTGTGTCAGGCGTGTCCTTTAGAACGCTCGTTGGCACTTGTGGAACGTGGATTGGAATGAAGAGAGAGTGGCAAAGGTAGCAAGGCCAGCGAGGAGGCTCGTACCTGTTGGGGAGAGCGGATGGACCAGAGCGGTGGCCCTGTTCCATCCCGGCGACAGACCTCGGTCTACCTACCTTGTGCCCACTTGGGCTGCTTCTGTCGCTACCCCTCGAGAGAGGGGCAGCCGTGTCAGCAGTAGCTCCCCTCACACGCGCTTAGGGCAAATGCTGATGTGACGCATGAGGAGGCAGAGGCCTGGGGAGGCAGGGAGAGGGACAGGGCTGGCGGAGGACCTCTCTTGGCAGAGGTGCTGTGCTCTAGGCGGGGCTTCCCACGAGCAAGAGGCCAGCCAGGTCCAGCCTGAGATGGAGTATTTCTCAGAAGGGAGAGCAGGTGAAGGCCCATAGTAGGAAGGAAGGGGCCGTGGGGGTCAGGAGAGCGGAGGGAGGGCCGTGTCGCCGGGCAGGGTGGTGCGAAGGGCGGCCTTGAGACCCGAGCACTGTGCCTCTGACGGTGGAGGGGGCAGGAGCACGAGGCGGTCAGGTTGGTGTTTTTGCAGATTCCCGTGGCTGCTGCTTGGAGATGGGTAGGTTTCCGGCTGTTACTTACCCGTTGGGGAAGACTGGGCGAGGGGCAGGTTTAGAGTGGAGGGGAAGATCGGAGTTCCAGTCTGTACTTGACGAGCTTCAGAGGCCGATGAATGTTAGATACGTGGACCCTGGAGCCCAGGGGTAAGAATTCGGGAGTGTGGTGTGCAACTAGTCATCCCGTCCTGGAGATGAGACGGAAGGTCTGTGGCACTGACTGTACTCCAGGCCTCTGCACGGCTTGTCATGGGGCCTTCAGAGAGCCACTTCCAACACTGCATTTAGTTCCTGCCACTTAGAGACTCAGCCCCGTGGCTCAGAACGCAGAGCCTTGAGCCTGAGCACCTCCCTGCTCTTTCCCCCCACTCCTCCTCACCTGGAAAGCAGTGGGGAGAACATCACCCACCCCAAAGAGCGGCGAGGAGACGTGTTGAGCCTTGGGCTGGGGCAGCGAGCCCTTGGGGGATGCTCGCAGAGTTTGTGGCTACAGGGAAAGCAGCCGGCCCCGGGGGGCGGGGAAGGGCTTCTTGGAAGGGGGAGGCAGTAAGTTTCCAGGACAACCTAGGGAGAGAATGAGCGTGCGCTTCTCTCACGGTGTCCGTTGCACACACGTGTACATGTGCACACACGCCCCAATACCGATTCTTCCACCGTTGCCGCCCTTCTCCGGGCTCCTGGCCCGTGACGAGATAACCGATGTTTGCATGGGGAGGTGGATGGATGGATGGATGGATGGATGGAATTAGAGAGTCTAGAAATCCACCTGATGTTAAAGACAGATGAAAATTTCTATCTGGGTGTCAAGTATATCTTAAAAAGTGATTTTTTTCCCTCTCCATTAACTAAAAAATTAAAAAAAAATTTTAATGATTGTTTATAGATGTACAAAGAAGATGGGTAGTCCCAGTGCTCACTCCTAACTTTACTGTCTTTGTGGTTTTTACGTTTTTAATGAGGTGAGCCTGGTAGATGCACACACTCCGTCAGAGATCCCTCCTCCTCGGCTGGCCAGTGGACTTCGAGGGGAGCCGTGCTCCCTTCAGGCCCCGCTGCCGCGTGTCCATGTCACGCCCCAGGGCCTGGCTGTTGAACCGGCCCAGTCCAGAAGGAAGGAAGTGCCTGGTCCTTTCCAGCCTCCCTGGGGGAGTGACACCCCTGGGTCCCCGGTCTCTGCTCCCTCCAGTCTCTCTCAGTGGGTCCTCGGTGTGTCTGTAGCATTCTGTGTGGGCCCGGGGAGTGGCCCTTCGTTCTACAAGCTCCCCGGAAAGGAGCGTCCCCAGCCGGTCAGCATTCGGCCTCACGGGAAGGACCCCAGGGGCTGTGGAGCTCACTTGCTGCTGCTGCTGGTTATGATGCACTGAGTGGGGAGTGGTAAAGGGACGGTTTCTAGATGATGAGGAACTCAGACTTGTTTTTGTAGAAATTCTCATTATTTCAGGGTTGTATCCAGAGAATATTAACTTTGGAGGATCTTCAAGTGTGTTTTGATTGTTGGGGAAGATGTAAGATCTAAGATGCACTCATTGTCGCGGCCTCTTCCACTACTGACACCTCTGTCCTTGACTTTGTTTCCCGTCATGGGCTGGGAGGCCAGGGCCCTCACACCGGGTGGGTCCGCCTCTCCTGCTGTCTGAAGGGCCCATGGGAGCCAGGGCCGCCCTCAGCCAGCCTGAGGCAGCATCTTCTTGCTCCTTCCTGGCACCCAGTGCCCCCAGGGGCGGGGAGAGCCAGGCCCAGCTTTGCAGTCTTCTGTCTAGTTCTGGGACGAAAGAGTGGTTATGGGCATTTTGTTAGTTTTGTTCTGTTGTTGCTTTTTTTAATCAAAGGAAGGAAAGGAGCTCATAATGCTCTACTCCTTAGAATTTTAACCTTGATAAGA